CAGTTTACAAATCAATTACGAAACGGGTGAGACAGCATTTCCTCTTCCTTCAAACTTCTTCCACTGTCTTCATCGCTGCGCTCTGGACACTTGTTGCTCACCCCATCGTGTGATTGTCTCACTTACGTGCTTTTGACTAGAACGCACAGGATTAATAAATTATTCACTGTATAAAAAGTAGAGGGCATAATGCATGTTCTCAAAATCTTTCTGAAGCGCCGCCCTCATTGCTAAAAGCTCTGATTTTCAGGAATGGAGTTGGCAATTAGATTCTGGAGCAGTTCTTGACCAGTGATGCCCAGCTTTCCTCACTGTCTTCCTTCTCTCACCCCAACCGGGTGCAGCAGATGAAACGAGGTGAGTAAAGACAAAATAGTCTGTGCATCATGGGAAGCCTCCAGCCCTCTTGGACAATTGCAGTGCAACTAAGGGAGGATTCAGGGTCAGCTAATCCAGCCCACACTGTAAAACTAATCTGAAAAACTGGGAGGTGGATCCACTGAAAACACTACACTGAAGTTGGTTTCAGTGGCTCACAGAACATCTGATGTGGTGTGCTCATTTAAACGCAGGATCCAGAGGGTCTTCCAAAGGGTTCATTATGACAATGGTGATTTAGTAGATTTAACAGATGTATGCTGATGGATTAATGGATGCATGTGTGGTGGCACGAAGGAGGATAACTAGTGAAGGTGAATAAGGGATGTTGACAACGCCACCTGGGGGGGAGAGTTACACCCCAGGAAAGATTTCTATGGCCAATGTGGATTTTACACTAGCTACCAAAGCCCACAGGCTCGTTATTAACAGCAGAGGTGAGGCAGATCAGTTTTACAACTCAAAACTTATTAAGAATACTACTAAAAGCAGAGAACTGTAAAATCAGATAAGTTCTTAAGGTAGCAGGGCTGAGACGGCAAGACAGTTACTCAATAAGAGCTCGATATAATAACTAAACAAAATGGTGGCGCCCGGCCACTTGAGGAGGCAACCCAAGGGTGCCACCTAATTCCACTGCAAACCTCACTGTCACTCACACTGCAATCTACCTATTCCCGGTGTGTACACTCTCATGAATCCGGGGGGGTCGATTCCACCTCACGTGCCTAGTCCCACAACGAGCGGCCGCACCTCCACCAAAGCAACAAAACATATAAAACATGAAACAAATCAGTAAAAGAGATATAAATGTAAAAAATGGTAAATGGCCTGTATTTATATAGCGCTTTACTAGTCCCTAAGGACCCCAAAGCGCTTTACATATTCAGTCATCCACCCATTCACACACTGGTGATGGTAAGCTACATTGTAGCCACAGCCACCCTGGGGCGCACTGACAGAGCCGAGGCTGCCGGACACTGGCGCCACTGGGCCCTCTGACCACCACCAGTAGGCAACGGGTGAAGTGTCTTGCCCAAGGACACAACGACCGAGACTGTCCAAGCCGGGGCTCGAACTGGCAACCTTCCGATTACAAGGTGAACTCCCAACTCTTGAGCCACGATCGCCACAAATACACCCTAAATGTGACAAATACACCCACCCAATTTGGAGTAAAAGACCATAAAACCAGGAGTCAGTCAAGGCCAGTCCATAGACGTTTGTAAAATGACAAGGCTACAACAACACAGCAGCAGTGTTGCACAATCCACTGTCTAAGGGGCAATACTAAAATGAGCGGCTTTTCTGAAGAAATCAAACCACTCTGCGGTGCTTAACCGCCTAACGCTATTGGCCACCTTTGATGGGAAAAGAATGCCAAGTGCCTTCGTGTGGTAGAGAAGCGCTACTGTTTCTGACAAGGCCTCTAATTATCAGCTGGGAAGGTGTGGATGTTAGTGCTGCATTCACGGACATCATGTAAAAGCCTACCAAAATCGACTTCACTACATACGGATGGATAGTAGTGATATAATGGGACTGTTTTCGCCCCCCAATCACCCCCTCAGGCGTGCTCGTACTGTATTTGGCACTTTTGCTAGTTCACGAGAGAGCAGACCGTCACTGATAACCGGTGATTGGGGGGGGGGGGGATCAATATCAGCCAGACAGTGGTAGAAAAAAGTAAGGTTCTCTACCCGCTGATTCAAATGTGTGATTTGTGATCAAAACCTTTTTAAAGTTGCGCATCTTGCGTTATATTCACAGTGCTCTGTTGGTGCCTGTCTGATTGCTCGAATAAAATATTTAATCTCATTTTGTTCATTGTTCAATAATCATATTTTTATAGAAAAAAAAATTTGAGCAAAAGACAAACTTTATGTACAGGGAATAAAGTTACATTGAAGCCAAGCACACCATTGTGTTTTTTGTGACATTACCAATAAGTTTGATGTGTCACATGGCCCTCTTCCTATTGAAAAAAACAAAAGTTGTATTCAAGATGGCCGACTTCTAAATGGCCACCATGGTCACCACCCATCTTGAGGAGTTTGCCCCCTCACATATACTAATGTGCCACAAACAGGACTTTATTATCACCAATCATTCCCATTTTATTATGGGGTATCCATATAAATGGCCCACCCTGTAGTTACGTTTTCAAAAAACTATGATATTGTAACTCAGTTATTAACTTAGTTACAATATTATAAAAGTAATTAAATAATAATAATGGATTGCATTTATATAGTGCTTTTCGGGGCCCTCAAAGCGCTGAACAATTCCACTATTCATTCACTCTCATATTCACACACTGGTGGAGGCAAGCTACAGTTGTAGCCACAGCTGCCCTGGGGCAGACTGACAGAAGCGAGGCTGCCATATCGCACCATCAGCCCCTCTGGCCATCACCAGTAGGCGGTAGGTGAAGTGTCTTGCCCAAGGACACAACAACCGAGACTGTCAGAGCCGGGGCTCGAACGGCAACCTTCCGGTTACAAGACGAACTACCAACTCTTTGAGCCACAAGGAAAAGTAACTATTGTGTTACTTTAGGAAAAAAAGTTTAACCATCTGAGGTCCAGGGTTGATTTGACCTCAGCATGTCTAATTGCCTTGTTTGGTATCATTCTTTTCAGCACAACCTCACATCTGAATTTACAGTTATGTTTTCATTAGTACAATTGATTAAAAAAAAAGAAAAAAAAAAAGAACAACAACATGAAATCAGATATATTTTTTTTACTGTAACAACAAAAAGCATGTTTCACAAATCATTTTCATAACATGAAATGCAAATAGAAATTGTAAATTTAATAAACCTATACATGAGTTTTGCAAATAAAAAAGGTACATGCAACTATTTACCTAAAAATGCAGGAAAGACTAAACTATTTACAGAACACTCTGATTCTGCATCAAATAAGATGCCACACAAATTATTTGTGCCACTCCAAAAAATTATTTCTCTCCACTGTAAGACAGAGGAGAACATCACAGGCCTGATACCTGCAGGCCTGACAGCCAGTGGTGTATCACTCCTCCTGTTTTCCACCTGGAGACAGCGTTTACACTGTAATCTGCCTTTGGTGGCTTTATGGCAGCAACTGTGACATTCGGCATCATTGTTCTGACACACAAAACAAAACCAACAGCTACACAACACACTAACTACATACTCCATACTAGAGCTGGGCAATAGAACGATAACGATATGTATCGCGATATAACTTTTACTCGATAGAGAAATTAAACTATCGCGATAGACCTCGCCGCTCTTGTCCTCTTAACAAAAAAAAAAAAAAAAAAGGTCAGCCAATCCAAATTAAGTAGCGCAGAGCCGAACCAATCACAGCCGCAGCGTCATGTCGCGTGACTTGTTATGTACAGCACAAGTGCCAAGCCGCACGTGTGTTTGTTTGGGAAGCAGCCAGCGGGTAATGGAGGAAATGAGTGTGCCAACTAGAAAAATCAACCGAGCGTGACCGAAGAGAAAACAGATAATGGTTCCAATGCCGGAGAGATTGTCGAACGGAAGAGCCATAGAAGTTCCGTAGTTTGAAGGTATTTCGGCTATTTCAAGTCTGACAAAAAACAGAGTAGTGTGCACTGTAAATTGTGCCGAAAGCAAGTCTGGAAAGACAATAAACTGGTGCATGCGTCACACTGTGCGCCACGTTATTGTTTCGGTGAAATGAATTTCTACAATACTGTTAATTCTACTCTCTGCAGTGTTTAAATGCTTACATATACACACAGTTACTGTCCGTCCACACATACGACTCGGTTCTGCTTCTATGCCCCAGCTTTGTTTACTTTTTCCCACCGAGGCTTCTAGACTTCTGATTGGCCAACATTTCTGCACGGTTAGGAATCTAGCGCCACCTGCTGCTTTGGCATGTTCATAGCAGCGTTTTCCTTCATTTCTGCCTTTATGTGTGGACAGGATTCTTTTTTAAAACGAAAACGGAAAATCTCCGTTTTCAAAAATACCCGTGTACTTGTGGACGTAGCCTCAGTCTCTGACTGGAAGCACTAATTCGTCATTCGGCTTTTGTCAGACTAAAGTAACTATTAAAACTGTTTGAAAAGCTAAGCTATACAACAAGGAGAGATTGAGAATTTCCTTTTAGTTCTCAGTTTATTTGATATTGACAAAAGTTAGTTTTGTCTGTTCTTCTGTAAAATAAAGTAAGATTTATTTTTAGAATTAATATTTTGTTTCTAAGTGGAATTGACAATGTAGTCTGTTTCGTTTGTTCTATTTTGAAACTTAAACGCTTTAGCGGCTGCCTTTTGTATAGTTTGCAATATTTGCCTTTATTTATCTGAAAAAGTCTCATGTTTCTTTGGTACATCTACCCTGTTGAACTTATTATGGGAAATAAATATTTAAATAAAAACAAGCTGCTGATTATTTCACATTTTACTTGTGAGCAACGGCACATTTAAATCTTGCAAATATAGTTATTTGGCTTATATTGTGATAGATATCGTTATCGCCTGAAATGAAAAAAACATATCGTGATATGAAAAAATCTCATATCGCCCAGCTCTACTCCATACTATAGTGTCACAAATCTCTCACAAATCTCTCACATCTCAAAACTCTCTCTCTCTCACCGCTGTCACTCCTAAAACTTTGGTCGTAAGCAGAGAGTGCTTACTAGCATAATAGAATAGTTTGTCAAAATTTGCCACCTACTTTTAAAATGAAACTAACCATAACCTCCTTCCTACCATGCTGTGTCTACCATTAGTTACCACGCTGACTTGTTCAACTTTGCGCTCTACACAGCTTGCTAAACTGTTAATCTTGTTAAAAGAGTACACCTCTATATGTGTATTTTTATGTGGCGAAACAAATGACTACCACGTCTGAATGCCTTCCCACATGTTTTACAATGATATGGTTTCTCACCTGTATGGATTTTCATGTGCTCTGTTAAATTACTTTTACGGCTGAACGTTTTCCCACATGTTTTACAATGATATGGTTTCTCACCTGTGTGCATTCTCATGTGCTTCTTTAGAGAACGATGTACAAACCTTTTCCCACATATTTTACAATGATATAGTTTCTCTCCTGTGTGGATTCTCATGTGCTTCACTACAGAATTCCTATGTACAAACTTTTTCCCACATGTTTTACAGGAAAACGGCTTCCCCCCTGTATGGATTCTATAATGCATATCCATTTCATAATTATATTTGTAGACTTCTCCACAAACATCACATTTTAAAGACTTTTTAGTTTTGTCAGACTTACACTGACTGTCTGGTGTAGGTTGGTATTCTACATTATTGTGACCTTTCTTCCCTGCTCCCTGATATTCTCTCACAGTTACATCAGAGCTGACACAGTTGAGATGGTCTCTTTTTGGTTCTGGTTCACTGTGGTCTTTTTCCTCAGCAGCAGTCAGCATAAAGGCATGAATCTCCTCCTTCAGTGCCAGCTGCTCTCCCTCCTGACTGCTACAGAGTTGCTCCTGTTCCTCTTTAATCTGTGGAGGTTCTGGTTCCCCCTGGTCCAGATTGGAGCTCATCTCCTGGTTCCACAGCTGCTGGTCAGCGACAACTTCCTCCTCCTTACAGACATGCTGCTGTGGGATGTCTGGAGGGGGAAAAGGAGACAATTAAAAGAAAAGTGAAGTGATAATAGAGAAAAAAAATCATACTGACCAAATAGACAACACAAAAAAATAATTAAATTATGCTTGATATCTATGGCTGTTGGCTAGCTTAGCGTTAGCATGCTGTCTGCACAGGTGCTTGCACAGAGCCATAGTTGTGTTAGCAGCCGTTTTGTCCTGGATGCAGTTTCTAATTTACCATTGCACTCTCCTCCTTTTGTGCAATAAAAATAAATGTAATGGCATGCAAATTAAAATCAGCTGATTGTAGCACATGTGCAAGAGCAGTGGGAACAATAACCAGATAGACTAACAGACAGACTAACTATATGTTTACAGCAATGTCTGTAAACATATATTCAGTCACCCACTGGCGCTGAAAGGCTCTGCTTTCAGAATCAACTTTTCTCTCGACCATTGTGAGCAGCCAGCTTTGCAATAACAGAAGTTTGACTTGATTGACGCGGGAAGGTTCCCAGTTAGCCTAGCATTCAGCAAGGAGGCTGCAGCGCTGCATTATGGGACCTGTAGTTTGTATGTTATTAGCGCCTCATATCGCCGGGCCATGCATAACAATAATAGTATATCTATATAAAATGATCTCGCGGGCCGGATATAAATGTACGCCGGGCCGGATGTGGCCCGCGGGCCTTGACTTTGACACGTGCTATAGGGGTTCCCACTTTTCTGGATTACTTACAGACACCTCTGTCTGCATAAAAACAGTGCTGGAACACACTGTGGTTACATACCCTCTGGAGCATCAGAGCAACAGTATTTTACTGCAGAAAGTAGTGTTGGCAAGAAAAAGGCAATTAACAATGGAAGATAGACAGAACATCATATAACTGAAAAATGTAGGTCTCTCCTACACTGCAAAAAAAGACCAGGTATCAGTGAGTACAGTTTCATTCAACATCAAAAGAAACAAACTCTGACTGCAAGAGGTCTGGCAGGCCCAAAGACACGACTGAATCAGAGGACAAGTTTCTGAGCGTTAACAGCTTGCGTGAATTACGGCTCACAGGGCAACAGATTCAAGCACAGCTTGAAATTTTCTGTTCATCATGCAGGATCTTTGTGGGCCGTTGATGAGAGGAAAGGATGGGTCACAGTGTGTGGCATCAACCCTCAAACATGGAGGAGGAAGTGTGATGGTCTGGGGCTGTTTGCTGGATCCAGGGTCGGTGACTTGTACAGATTGAGAGGCTTCCTGAACTAAAACAGCTACCACAGCATTCTGCAGCACCATGCGGTACCCTCTGGTATGCACCTAGTTGGTCAGCAAGATAATGAGCCAAAACACAAGCCCAGGGTGTGCCAGAACTACCTCAGAAAAAAAGAACAAGACGGTAAGCTTGAAAACACGGAGTGCTCAGCACAGTCGCCAGACTTAAACCCCACCGAGCTGGTTGGGGATGAACTGGACAGAAGAGTGAAAGCAAAGCAACTACAAGGTCCACATTTATGGGAACTTCAGCAACAGATATGGAAGAATATTTGATTTCTATTGGAGAAAGAATGTCACGGCTGTGTTCAGCTGCTATAGCTGCCAAAGGGGGCAACTTTGATGAGTCAAAATTTTAGAATACATTTTGGTCTATTAATTGATTCATGATTTCTTTTTTAACTCCAAGTGCTTATTTGTGCTCTGCTTTCATTTCAGAGTGCATTGAGACATTAAACTATGGATGTGCGATATGACCAAAATCTCATATCCCGATGTAAAACACCTCTTTTTTGCTTCTCATCTATAAACTCTCTCCATACTCTGTCACATGACTCTTGCGTAGGTGGTAGAAGAGGTTTGTCATGTTTGAGTCTGTGGTCTGGACCAGTTTGCACCATAATTTGCATAGTACAGTTTTCAGGTCCATGTCAGACTTTTCATAACTAAACCATGTCCCTGCTACAGAGGCAGCCCCTCATTTAGGAATAAGGTCCTGGATTTGTTTAGACTGATCCTTCTGTTTGAGCTACCATGTGGTGACTGTAAGCACCATTTAAAGTTACCTCAAATAAAAACATGAAGTAATTTGTTTCATGCATATTCTGAATTGTGATGTTTGAAAATAATGTATTTTGTCATAATTTCAGTTTATTTTGAATCTCAACAGGATCTTCACCTTTATTTTGAAAGGTTTATGTCAGGGGTGTCCAAACTTCTTTCACTGAGGGCCACAAACATAAAAATATAGGAGGGGCTGGGCCACTTACTAGAAATGAGGTATATAACCTTAACTTTACTGTATTAAAGTTAGAAAAATCACTTAAAAGTGGTCAAATGTGTGTTATATTGTTGAATATAATTAAAGACAAAACTGCCTTCATCACAGCTTTCCATAAATGGATCTTTATTGATTTATTCAGAAAAAGCTTTGGTACCTCATTCTCAGAACAGCAGCCTCAGATTTCTTCTTAGACAGAAGATTTACAGCACAGAGAAAAAACAATAAAGGGGAAAATGGGACGGGCACATTTCAAGTTTATTATTTAAGTTATTAGGCTTAGCAAAACATCTATTAACGTCCGTTTGAAATGATTATCAACATTAACAGACTGAACTGGACTTAATAACAGGAGTCCATATAATTTTAGTAAATTATTCTGGTGAGTATCAGCTGCGCTGGGTATGTAAATCGGGCCATCCTGCTGCTGATTGCCACTCGTGCCATAAATCCAGACAAATGTCACTTGATCAAGGAGCAGATCTGCATCAGATGGTGTGTACACACAGCGGTGTGTACTCTGTGTGTTAACAAGAAAAACGCATATAAGAAAGTGGTGCGCAAAAGCAGGGTAGTGACAGAATTGATGCGCATTATTGATATTTGAAGCATGTGTACCTGCACATTAACACACGGGTACTGTGGAATATATTTTTTACTCACCTAAAGTGCTCGTGCTCTCGTCCACTCCCCGCAAAAAAAATAGCAGCTGTGCGGTGTCTGTGGCATCGGTGCTCTCATCGAATGCGATGGAGTAAAAATCAAAAGCACAGCTTTATCAGACAGTTGCAGTTTAATGTTGGCTGACAAGTCTTCAATGCGTCGCATAACTGGATTTCTGGACATGCTGACGTTGTTGAATCCTGCACTTTTTCCGGGCACATTATTTCGGTGACTTTAACAAGGCCGTGTTTTACGAGGTCTCCAACTGAAAAAGGCTTGCCATGTCTTGCGATGAGTTGGGCGACCTCATAGCTGGCTTATTGTAGCCTCTTTCTGGACCTTTTGAGCCTGAAAAAAATACTGTTGCTGACCCCGCAGGAGAGCTACCTGTAGTGGCGGCACTCCGTCTCTATTTCACTCTTCTGTACCACCTTTAGGAGTCAGTCCAGCAATATGCATTTGAAACGCGAGCAAGTCCAGGTACTTTTCTTGCAAAAAATATGTTTATTGAAACTTTTAATTTACATGGCAAGACTCGGTCAAAAAACTGTGTTGCTTCCAGCTTATCCGACTCCCCAACTACGTAATTACAGTGTGCCGGAAGCCCAAAATACTAAAAAGCGCATTAGAATGTTGCACTTCTATATTCTATACATTTAACAAACAGTATTTTAAAATCAACTAGAATTATATTCTTAACATCAAACATATATATTTCTCCTCTAATCATTTTACCAGTACCAATAAAATTAACCTTTAATTGGCTCTTACACTACCCTTTGCTTTAATTTCTGCTCTCGCTCAGCACCAGTATAGGATGCATAGGCCTGATGTTTGGTTTCATAATGACGTCGTACATTATACTCTTTCATAATTGCCACAGTTTCAGTGCAGATCAAACAAACACACTTCCCCTTGAATTCTTTGAAGAAATATTCACTCTCCCACCGTGTCTGAAATTTTCTGCACTCACTTTCTACCTTTCACTTCTTTGGTACTGCCATGTTTAGTAACTTGGGGTAAATTTCTTCTGTGATTGTCCTTTTGGGTGGAGCAACTGCCTTGATCAACAGCAGCTCCCCCTGGTGTTAAAACTAAGAAGTGCAATACACTCAAGCAAAAGTTGAAGTGTGGGCCATATTCTATTCTATTTATAAAATTACACCACAAAACAAGCACTTGTATCAAGCCAGCCTCCAATTCAAGACTTGCAGAACGATATACGATAGAAACGATATAAATTTGGCCAACGATAGAGATATTGACTAAATTGCTCTACCGCGATAGCGGATGTTGATGATGTCATCAAGCTGCGCCTGTTTTGGTCGAAAGCATCACAGCGGCTACAACCATTATCGTCTGCAAATTATGCCTGGCGACAGTCATAGCAAAGAGATGAAGCACTTTTGAAATATGGGGAAAGCCAAAAGCTGCACTTCCGTAACATTGACTCATTAATGTCGAATTCTCTCGCAGCTGCTCTATTCCCATGTTGTTGCAGTATATTAATACAGTGGTTTTATTTATATATGTTTATATATAAATATACTGTATATGCTGGCCCCTAGAGACTAGGCACGTACAAACTCCAAAACACATTTCTAGCGTTAACTGAACTTCCAAACCAGAGCTACCTAGATCACTTAAATTACACAATTGAAAGCACATGTGTATTGTTTGTGTATTTATGCACAAGCACTTATATATATTCAAATAATTTAAAAAAAAAAGTTCATTTGCCTGTTACTACCATAAGATAAGATAAGATAACTCTTTATTGGCATTGCACAGTCATACATTGTACAGTAGTACAATGAAATTGGAAAAACTGTCCTACGTCGGCACTACATATAACACAACACAACACGATATGACACATCACAATGCAACAAACAACACAACACAGTATATTAACTTAGTATAAAAAGAAGAATAAGTGTATGTGTATTGCACACTGTTATTATTGCACATTAATTATTATTGCACCTTGTTATAAATATAAATATTATTGTTATTGTTTCAAACATTGTTACCTCCCCCCTAAAAAAGTCCAGGGAGGTATCCAGTCAGGTCAGCTATTTACATTGATCAGGGCTATTGCCCTGTTGTAAAAGCTGTCCTTGAGTCTATTTGTTTGAGACCTCAGCAGCCTGAACCTCCTGCCAGACGGCAGCAGCTTAAACACCCGGTGTCCTGGGTGTGTGCAGTCCCATAGGATGCTGCATGCCCTCTTGAGACAGCGAGTGCTGTACAGGTCCTTCAGGGAGGGAAGAGGATGTCCAATGATTTTTTGGGCCATATTGATGACCCTCTGGAGTGCCTTTCTGTGTGCTGTGGTGCAGCTGGAGAACCACACACCGATGCAATATGTCAGCACACTTTCAATGGAGCAGCGGTAGAAGACGGTCAGCAGCTCCTTCTTCAGGTCCATTTTTCTGAGGATTTTCAGAAAGTGGAGACGCTGTTGGGCCTTCTTTAAGACCGCAGAGGTGTTAGAGCTCCATTGGAGGTCTGTGTCTATGTGCACACCCAGAAACTTGAAGCTGGAGACCGTTTCCACGCACTCCCCGTTGATGCTAACAGGCTGCAGCTCGGACTTCCTCCTTCTGAAGTCAACTACCAGTTCTTTTGTTTTGGTGGTATTGAGGTCCAGGTTGTTGACTGCACACCAATCTGACAGCCTCTGAACTTCAGCTCTGTACGCCGTCTCATCTCCCCCTGAGATGAGCCCCACCACGGTGGTATCATCTGCAAATATGATGACTGTGTTGTCTGGGTGGGAACTAACACAGTCATGTGTGTACAGAGTGTACAGTAGGGGACTCAGTACACAGCCTTGTGGAGAGCCAGTGTTGAGGCTGAGGGCTGAGGAAAGATGAGGCCCCACTCTAACTCTCTGTACACGGTCTGAGAGGAAGTCTCTGATCCAGCGGCAGGTGGTGGACGGAAGTCCAATTTCCAGCAGTTTAACTATTAGTCTGTCCGGGAGTATCGTATTGAAAGCAGAGCTAAAGTCAACAAAGAGCAGCCTGGCGTAACGGCCCTGCACTTCCAGGTGAGAGATGGTGGTGTGGAGTGTTGTAGCGATGGCATCTTCAGTTGATCTGTTAGCTCTGTATGCAAACTGGAGCGGGTCGAGTGTGGGTGGCAAGCAGGACATGATGTGACGTCGGACCAGTTTCTCGAAGCACTTCATTATAACAGGTGTTAGAGCAACTGGTCGGTAAACGTTGAGGCTGCTAATGTTAGTATGCTTTGGCAGTGGGACAATTGTGGCTGACTTTAGGCACGGCGGGATGCAGGACTGGGACAGTGAAGTGTTGAAAATCTTAGTGAAGATGAGGAAAGAACAAGAAGGAGAGCTGAAAGACTCTTTTAGAACCTTTGCGGTTACCCCATCTGGTCCGGTGGCCTTCCTGGGGTTCACTGCCCTCAGTGTGCGCCTCACCTCATATTCCTGCACTATGAGGCTTGGGCTGCTGCTGCTGTCCAATGTTTTTGCTGCTGTTGCCTCTGGTCCCTTCACCTCAAAGCGTGCGAAGAAGTGGTTCAGCTACCACACACCAAATCGGGTCGTTGGTACTTCTTGGCTTGTGTAGCCACTAGGTAACAAAAGCTCAACACTGCGCCTAGCATCCTGGAGGACTTCTGTTGCATTTTGTATGCGCTTCGGAGCTTGTACGCGTCGTTCACTTCAAAGATCCAGCTCTAAGAGCCGTTTCGTTCGCCACCGACACATCACTAGTGGCACTGGTTGCTTGCTTAACACCTCCATATGGAGATGCTTTGCGGAATACAGATTTGAAGTTGGACTTCAGTGTCTCCGAGTGACTTCTTGCGATCCAAGAATGGGGTGAAGCCGTCCTTCTTCGACATATCTCACCACTAAGTATCTCGCTCGGTGGAGCCTACAGTGCAGTTTTTCTCTGTCGTTCACTGTAGTTCCCAATATAATTTTTTATTTATTTTTATCTGTCAAAAGTGGCATATAAATTAGGGGTGCAACAAACGATTATTTTGATATGGACTACTCACCGACTATTTCTGCGATTAGTCGACTAATCAGATCATGCATCCATTGGCCATACAACGTACAGCTTATTGCACCACCATGCATCTGCTCTTATATAACTATCATTAGCTTACAGCTTTAAATGTTTAAGGTATGTGCTAACTAACAATAAAGACAAGATGATAGTTTATTAAATTTTAATGAAATTTGCAGATTGTTTCGGTGAAGTTTATTAAACTCCTTGCTATCCAAACTATAACAGGATACCGTAGCCTATATTATACAGTATATTCTCGAGCATCTCATACTACTGATAATCAGTTGTCTGCTTGACCTTTATTCAGCTGTGTAAAAACTATAACTTTGATCTCAGCCAAACCGATTTACTCAGGAACAAATAAAATACTGAAAAAAGCCAAACAATAACATTTTGAAGTTATCTAAGTGACTTATAAATCATGTGTAACCTGAGTAGCGAAAGACGGCGGGGGGTTTGAAAACGTGTGAAAAGTGGAATATAAATACATTTTGCTTACTTACGTCTCCAAAAAGCCTTCACAATAATAAATGTCCCGCAGAGCTGTGATTAGGATCCTCCATCAGAGTGACACTCACCTGTCCTGTGCAGCTTTATTTCGGGTTTCCAGGTGATATCCATCAGTCTGCGCTGACGGTCGATCTCTTGCTCGTACCGGACGATCGTTTTTTCAAACTCCAAGAATATTTGCTCAGCAGCAGCAGTTAGTCGCTCGTTGATAAACTCTCTCAGATACTGAACTGAAGGCATTGTTAGTGCGGCAGCTCACACACTCAATACAGCAGTCTCTGTGATCAGACACACACGCGTGGGACGGTGTTGATGCCTTTGTTTGTTTACTTCCGCCTGTGTCACGTGGTGAGGTTCCGGTAGAGCGCGAGTGTTCTTCTTCTTCTGTATAGGGTTTATTGGCGGTTGGCAAAAAGCAAAATGGTGCATTACCGCCACCAACTGGTGTGGAGTGAGGCCCGAAATGACAAAAATAAAATAAAATAAAATAAAATAAAATAAAATAACCCTGATGAAATGGGTCTGCCTTAAAAACCGAAATACAGCCTGATAACTGTCACTTATAAAGCTCACGTGAAATAAATCAATCAAGTCAAACTTCACTTTCATATCGTCCAGCTTTTTGATCAGTTGTCTCCTTTTAATATTATACTTCTGTCAATGCAATAAAACATGTTCTGTTGTTTCCTGTTCCCTACTGCATTCACACTCCCATGTACAGTGTTTACCTATTAAAAATAATGTGCTATGATCCAGGTGATTGATATATGCATTTTTTTTTCTCTGCCCGTTCTGTTGGTTTTTGTCTTTTGCCCTTCTCCCCCGTCCCTCTTCTCAGCTGTTTCTCTTTCCCTCTTTCTTTCTCCCCTTCTTTCCCCCAGTCAAGTCTGTCCCGTATTCAGTAAGTGAAAATAAAATAAACAATAAAAGGTGAATCAAATGGACCATTACGGCAAGGCTGGGATGGTCAGTTTGGTAAAGTAAATCCGTTGGGCATCTTTCTTTGCCTTTAGACAACAATTCTGAGGGCAAAAGAGCCAAACGGGACAGGCCAAAGAAAAAAAAAAAAAAAAAATAATAATAATAATAATAATGTGCTATTTAAACCAGTGTGTACGAATCTCCGTCGAGATATAATCGTCTCCTCTCTCCTATTTCATCCTGTACTTCTCATTCCCCCCACTTTCCTTTGGATTTTGTACAACCACTGCCCTTTCCTCTCTTCCTCCCATTGCTTTTGGCACCTTTCCTTCATTTTGTATCGTATTCTACTCTTGAGCTCCGTCCTACTCACACTAATAACCATATCTACCATCGGTCTCCTTGTTGCGACTTTTGCTGTCCTATCTGCCATTTCATTTCTTTTAACTCCACGATGCGCTGGTACCCATAAGAATGTGACTACAAGCCCCATCATAATAAGTCTGAATAATGTCAGGTCTGCAGTCTGAGTGACTGTCTTGCAGGCTGGCCAGTGATGAGCTCGAGTCTGAACATATCACAGACCTTAGTGGTTTCGTTTCCTCAATCCACTGGATAGCTAACAATATGGAAACCATTTCACCTGTGTACACTGATAAATCGTCACTGATCCTTTTCCCACCTTGATATTAAATTCAGGAACTATAAATGCTATCCCACTTTGGTTGGCTGTATTCTTTGATGCATCTGTGTAGATTTTGACATAACTATAATACTGATTAAAATATTCTTGTGCTGTATGTGAATTTAAGATAAAACCCTTCTCCTTGTTCTTTTTTTTAACAATGTGAAATCTACCACTGCATCAGGGAGCATCCATGGTGGTATTGTAGGCAGTGGCACTGTTTGACTTGTGTTTATCTTGTCCAGAGTAAGGTCAGCTGCTTTCTGTCCCACTCTCCACCCAAAGCTCTTCAATTTCATTTTCTCTTTTTCCCAGCATGTATGGAAAACAGTTTTTGCCGGATGGTCTTGACCATGTCCTTGTAAACTTGCCCTTCTTATTTGTAATGGCATTTCCCTCATTTCTACCTGTAGTGCTGCTGCAGATGTTGTTTTGAATGCACCTGAGCAAAGTCTTAACGCTTGATATTGGATACTATTTAACTTATGAAGACTTGTTCTGGCAGCAGAATTAAATACTATACACCCATAATCCAATACAGAAAGGGCAATCTGGGGAAAAGGAGGATGGAATTTGTCGGCTGCGGTTGTCGGAGCCTGTCATTAGAATGAAAGTTATTGGCCATGTTTGCATAGCCCTTTTTAAAATGATGCTTTCATGACATTATTGTATGTTGGGTGGTGGTTAGGGCTATCTAGACTGACAAGTAAGACATTGAATGTCACCTCTCCGGTGGGGAGGGGGCCTGAGATTGTCTAAATTGGAATCTGTTCTATACCAAATGCAGAAAAATTGTTTTAAGAAAGCAATTAAGTTCATTTTCCAAAAAATATAATTGTTTGCTTGAAGGACAACAGAAGAGATGAGTCCTCCGTCACAGATGGTGTGGTCAGTGAAGATGGTCGCCTGCAGGTTCAAGCTCATTGCGTCTCCAACCCACATCCACTGCCACTGTACTTAAGGGAAGTTATAGACTTTCTTCTGCACTTAAATTTGGATCACCTCGATCCATGATAGTCATTCAGGCTGTAATGCCTGGACTGGAAACAAGCCATCCTTAAAATATTACAACATTCCAGCTCCTTTGTTGGAATGCAAAACAAATGTGTTGTTTAAATCAGAGACTTCACTTGTGACAGAACAACAAATATTTTATTTTTATTATATAAGTAATGTAAGTATAAAACAAAGTTGTTGAAGGCCTAAACTTTTCAGAATAATTAAATCTGAGACTTTGTTTCATTGTAAGATTATAACAGTGATGGCAAATTGTTTGTTGTTCAGCAGAACAGTGTCCAGTATGTTGGCTGTTGTACTTTGTTGTGTTTGAAAATAAAAGTTGGGCTGATTTTAACATCATTACAAAAAGTGTTGTTAATTATTTTTAATCATATTCAGGTTACCACAAATTGTTTTTTTCATTTAGTTGAACTTAAAATGTTTGTAAGTAGGTAAACAATTAGTATTGTACAGTCAGAAATATCAAATTATTCTTAATACTGCAGACTTGCAATGAATAAGTTGTCCTAACAGTCATCTTAAGCAAGCTATACTTAGTGTTTTTGAGGCAACAAGTTTACATAGTTTTGTTGAGTTCTGGGAACTAAAGAGGCTTTACAGTGTACTCAAAATGGGTAAGTTGGCCTAGCTTAATCATCTTAAGTCAAACATTACTCAATCTTTTTGAGGCAACGAGTTTACATAGATTATTTGAGTTCTGTGAACTAATTAGATTTTACAGTGTGGGGGGAACATTTCACCTGGAACAACTCTGACTGTCACAGGTACTGACTGACCAATAAGTATTTATCTGTATTATATCCCTATACTATGTATAGTGCAGTGTTAATTTCAATACGTTATCGTGGCTCAAGTGTTGGCAGTTCGTTTTGTAATCGGAAGGTTGCCGGTTTGAGCCCTGGCTCCGACAGTCTCTGTTGTTGTGTCCTTGGGCAAGACATTTCACCTGTTGCCTACTGGTCAAAAAACAAAGATGAAAAAGAGCCTAACGATACTTCAAAGCCATTGCCTCAGTTGTTCTACTGTAGAAACATATGCAAGCAGAAATGAAGGTTAGGCTACAGTGGTGCAAGCCTGACTGCTCATCAGTGCCTTTGTTTCTTGTTACAAGAACAGTTTCCTTCCTCATACTGCTCATAACCGTTACATGCTTACACTGATTTGTATTCTAATATCGGCATCACGGGCATCGGTAAAAAAAAAAAAAAAATTACTCGTGCTCATGCTGCCCCGACATCATGCCAGCTCATATCGGGAATGGCATAGGCACCGATGGGTTTTCTATCGCCCATTTGCTGGGAGTAAGTACGCCCTTCGTTTGCGAGGTGCGCCTGCTGCTTGCTGCGCAGGGTGGAGAGGGCGGGGTGGCGGGGGATTCTCTGGCTGGCTGGAGCAGCATCTAATAACCAATTCGCAAAATAAAACAAAATTTAAAAAAAAACAAAACACGAAAACACCAGACATCATGATACAGACTTATAATTTGCACCGATGTTTTTTCGCGCTCACTTTTCGTAAACTTTATTGTCATCTCCGCTACATACAGTCCAGTATATAGAGACACGAGACGACGAGGCTACAGTTACAGCAGTGCAAGTAAACAAACCATAAATATAAGAAGAGTAAGAAAATAAATATACACTTTAGGATTCGGGGTAAAGGGATCAATAACAATTTAAAATTAATAATTTACAGTTTGATGATTTAAAGTCTCACACAAAACCCGTCGAAAGGGGAGGGGGGCCTGCTTCTTCCAAATAGAGCACATTTCATTCATAATGTTGTAAATCCAAGCCCATTATCTATTCATGATTTGAACCTGGGTTGTGCGAAATTCCAGAAATAAACCTTAGACAAAGCGAATCTGTGAAATAAGGTGTAGGTCTATTAGGTTATGTTGTCGTAATCCTCGGGTTGGGGGGTGGGTGTTCATACTGGAGTGCAAAATTAAAACCAATGGAAGATGGACAAGAGAAAAAAAGAGGAGGAGAAATGAGCAAAAGATACAGGTAAGCAGATGTGTCATTGGATAATGGCAGGTCATCCTGAAACAATCAGAATCAGAATCAGAATACTTTATTAATCCCTAAGGAAATTATGTGTGTTACAGTTGCTCCAAGAAGAAATGGTAAAAATAGTAACAGTAACAGACTAAACTCCAAACAATACATTATGTTACAGATTTTACACATTCAAGAAATATCACTAATATATACAGATCACTCAATTATAAATATCAAGGATTAACAGAGGTGATTATAAATAAATATCAAGAAAATTGATGAGAATATTCCGGAGTAGAAAAGAGCGTGTGTTAAGCACAATATTAATTAGTCATTGTCATTTCTCTCTTGGTAGTCATTTGCATAGTATGCATAATCTCTTTCTCTTCATGCATGTGTGTGTTTCCTGGTGAAATTCAGTATGGTTCCAACAAGTTTTATGTTGATGCACAATCCATAATATGTTTTATGTGTGTGTGTGTGTGTGTGTGTGTGGGGGGGGGGGGGGGGGGGGGGGCAGAGGGAGTGTTCGCCCAGGGCGCCAAACAGGCTAGGACCACCACTGCACTAAAATAAAAGTAATGTCCATATCTCTGTCCCTGAAAAGTTCAAAAAATTGAAGTTTCAGAACCCCTCTATCATCTTTTTCGCTCTTGCTAGGGCTTTCAACACTAACA